CAGAGATCATTTACAAGCCACCTCTCATCTTTCTGTTGGCTTCTTCATTATTTTCTACACTCAAATTAGTCAACATGATAGTCCGTACAGTGACTAGCATCTTCTCAGCCCAGACTTCATTAAAGGAGCTGTTACAAAATTGGTGCCATCTTCATTTTTGTGTAAATCAGAAGTCTCTCTCAGCACAATAGGTCTTTCAAGAATCTACATATAAAGAACATCTGTTCTTAAAGATGTTTTTTTACTGTCTTGAAAACCTGAAAAACACAACTAGTATTTTTTGTTTGCAGTGGCCCAAAGTTATTCTTCACTTACCTTATACATTCTAAACATCCTGACTATTCACTGTGATGAGTTTATAAACACTTCTCACAACTTTCAGAGGCCAAAGCAGAGTTTGCAATTTGAGTAATTCTTACTACACCTATGCTAACAGTGCACTTCTTTATCACTCAATAAAACCCTAATAAACTTCTATACAACTGGATTCAGAGAGTACTTATTTTGACCTTCGAGAGCTGCTTACACAGTACTGTACTGGGGTGACAAATTTTGCTCAATAGATGAAAAGAAATTGGGTTCATGGTCTTTAATGTAGTCAATATCATGTTATACATACTTTTGTAAATGCCACAGTAAAAATCATTAGCCTTTCTATTGTTGTTTTGCTGAAATATAAAGACAAAACTGAATGACAGGAGCCACACTTCTGAACAGCCTTGTTACAGTTCAGTTTTTATCTTTTGGCCCAATAGAAAACTAGCATTTGCCACTGTGTAATTACTCTGACATTTCCAGGTTATTATAGTTATAATAGAGAAGAAAATGATTAACATTTTCTGACATAAAAAAAGGAAAAAAAACTCCTGCGCCATGAAACGTGTAACATCTTTTTGCTTGTTTGTTTATCTTACGTAAACTTGCAAACATTTTCTTTAGTTAACTCAATTTTCTAAAGTTTTGGGTGCTTGGATAAGAACACAAAACAGTTCTTCCTTGTACCTTTTAACAACAGATGTCCTTCCTGATTTAACCCTCACCAACCATCAGGCACAAGGCTGTCACAAATTGCATGGTATTCTTCGATCTGTTGAGGGAAAGCACAGAATGAGAGATTAATCTAGAAAAGTGAGATTAAATATGATGGTGCCAGGTTATAGCACCATTCTACCTGTAGTCTCCGGGCAGATTGTTGTTATTGAAATAAATATATGAATACAGAATGTTGTGTAAATAGACCAATCAAAAGTGGAACATCTACTCACATGGCCACATCATTCATGCAAGAGAACTGTAAAATTGTCCAATCTCATATTACACACACACACTCTTCCCCCTCTCTTAGGCCCCAAAATATTTCAGAGGCACCTATATCATTCAAATTCACAATCACGAATGTGCAAAACTTGTTTAAGCAACATCAATTTCTTTTTGAACATGTGAAATCCTGGGTAAGTTTGAGTCACTGTTGGCAAATGATTCCAGTGACAAAAAGAAAGGGCTCGTTTGGTTTGGTGAGCGTGGTTCTGTCTGAGGACATTTTGTGCACAAATGTTTGGTTCTGATTTGCAGCTTGATAATGAACGAGAATGTGGCTACGTTTGGTCCAGTGGAGCTTCAATCAAAGAAAGACGCTACTCTTCTCTTCCGTATCTGACCTCGAGATTTTATTTTAATTCGTGTATTTTCTTTTAGATCAAGGGGCAAACAGTTTTCCATGCCATATTTTCTACAAGACTACTTCTTTTGGAACTCCACATACACCCCAGTGGCCGCAAGCCTCCACCTTTGGCCCTCTCATATCCCTCACCTGTTATTGTTATCGACCACACTTCTATAATAACATGTAACAGTGTCAACATTTCATATCGCACGGATTACCACTTCACCCATCTGTAGATTGATTGAGAGCGCCTCGGCACTTGTGGAGCCTCCTGGCGCGCCGCGAAATCACAACACCGGCGCGTAATGAGCACAAGGAGCGCGCGAGGGCACGTTGGAGCCTGGGCGCGCGCGTATGGGAGGGGTTCAGATTCAGAACATTGACGACAAATATTTGATTTACTGTCCCGGGTGTCCCCAGACTCTAAGGTGTGCACACAGCCTTGCCATCTCATGTGAAGCTTCCGCGGTGATGCTCAAGTATTGGATGCTTGGTTTTACGCACGAGACGCACTGGGCTAAGAAAGTGCACACCCGGACGAGCTCGAGCGCAAAGACACATGGGGACAAACGCCACACAGTATTCTCATTGGGGGGGCTACTGTGTGCTTCTCACGTGGGTTTCGCATTAAAGCGGGCTAAATACATACATTTACACTGTTGATTAACGCGCAGTTTAATGGAGCGAGTCGAAGTGGCGGTTCAAAGCAGCTGTTGATGGCAAAGAACATGAGAGATTGAGAAACGGTGATTGACCCCGATTAAACTGATTGGAGAGAGTTCATAGTGAGCGATGCTCGATAACTGTAGTGTGGGCAGTAGAGACCTGCAGCATGGCCTATAGAAATGCAAATACACTTTTTCTCTTTCTCTTAACCCATTCAAGAGCCAGCTATTCTCGTTTGACCTCTGCTCTGGTCCCTGGATATTTTTATTATTTTTTAGAAATCTCCATAATTTCTTAAGAGGGCTGCAGGGTGCATGAAGCGTTCAACAACAGATATAGTCCCACTCAGTTCAGCCCGCAGCCTGGAGCCAATAATCATGCCACATTCATCGGCAAATGAATCAAATTTCGTCTCCATTCTGATGCCCAGTTTGAACTTCGGGGTTGTTCTGACTTGGACAAACAGTCTACAAAAATCACTGCATACGTTTCTTGAAGAGTGAGCTGTTTTGCAGCCCCCCAAGTCCATATTGACTATTCTGGATACTGCAGTGTAACATGGTTGTGGCCATGACACTACAGTGTACTCTATGAACATCAAGATGACATGTGTCTATCTGCAGTTATGGGTCATATTAGGACCCACACTCAGTGCAGTTCAGTAGGCCTAGCTGACAAACAGAAACTGTAAATAAGTAGGTGTGTTAGTTTCAGAGTAGTTTCATTGTAGTTAGCTCCTCCCTTCAGACAGATATGAGGCAGTGTCCTCCAGCATCTGACCAAAACTGAAGAAGCAGCTTGGATGAGCTGCGAAACGTATTCGACCAAAAATAAACTTGAGTCCATTTGACAAATTGAATTTGCCTTTTCTTCTACGTAAGGGTTGAAGCATAAAAAGCCCCGAGTTGATGAAACTGACATCCACAGATACAATAGCTCCATCTGCTGGCCTAAACTAATAATCACATCTTAAAATGCTTTTCTATGACAATGACAAATCATTTTGAGGTTCCTTTTATTCACCTTCCTTTTTTTTTTTTTTTTTTTTTTTTTTTTTTCGCAATATTGAATCGAGTGCGCTTTAAGCCATGTTAAAGTGCTGCTACCTCAACAAAAACATACCAGGAATTGTGTTTTAGTTTCACTTAACACATGTTGGTGTAATCCTGGATTATTGGGTTGGCTGCATCTCTAAAGATCAAAATGCTCTGTTCCACCTTGTGATATCTCGAAGTGGTTTTCAAGTTAACAGCTGCCCCTTTTCACTGGGTTTTTGATCTCCAAACACCTTCACTGGCATCATTTGGATAATTTCGCACTAGAAATTCTAGAAATCTCTACTGAACAAAAGGTAAAAGGCAGCTGTTCATTAGAAAACTACAGTTTCATGACATCATAAGGTGGAACAGATCATTTTGTGGTTTCAAGATGTAGACTGACTAATAATACAGGATTACTCAAACACATGTGAATGAAACAAAATACAACTCTGTGTATGTTTTTGATGGTGTAACAGCATGATAACATGGCTTTGAGCTCACATATCAATTTTGTGAAATATTTAAACTTAATATTTCTATGTTCTATTTCGAATCAACTCAAACGTTAACAGCAGGAAAACATAGTGATGCTGTTGGTTATGATTAAAGGCATATGTGGGAGCTCCCCTTTGGTTATGTCTGTCGTGTCACACTAAATCGTGTCAAGGGTGAGCTCTTTATTGAAGAGAGCTTTGCCCCTGCAGCAGTGGTGGTAAAGGTCCGGTCTAAGGGCATGGAAGCAGCATGCAGGGCAGCTGAACATGGGCCTTTAGCCTATTTTTAGAAGGAATGTTCTTTATTTAGTTAGGGTTAGCAGAAAGAACTGTGTTTTGAGAAACGTGAGCTAATGATATTTAAAATAAAAATCAACAAATGGAAACAAAAAACGAATTGGGTTTTACCTAACTAACAGACAAGCTATCACAACTGTAATCTAGAATCTACTGTCACCATTGACCTATTGCACATCTGATCTGTTATAATGTAGTTTCCTTATCACATAGGCCTACTTACAGGAGTTGTTTTGTTTTATTCACACATGTTTAACATAAAAACTCAGGATATTTAGGCTGGGATCTCTCAAACAAAACAGTTTCACCTTTGATATCATGCGGTAATACAGAAAGTGCTCCATACACCTTTACTAAATTACTGGATGATTTCAGTCCTGGAATTGTCAATCTCTACTGAGCAAAAGGTAAGAAAGTAGCCGAGTTATTATCTTCAAAACTAGCGCTTCATGACATCACAAGGTGGACCAGAGCATTTAGAGCTTTGGAGATGTGGACAAACTAATAAAAAAGGATTACTCAAACACGTGCGAATGAAATAAAACACAACTCCAGGTTTGTTTTTGATAAGGTACAATGTCTTAAAGCTCACAAGAGTCAATTTTGCGCAGTATAGGACCTTTAATGTCTAATTTGAATCATCACGCTTTGTTTAGTTTTTATCTATTTCTTTTGACGCATACACAAAATAAATCCGAATCTTCTTTTTACCACACAACATAAAATAAAACGTGCCAAAGTGGCTCTTTTGTGCCTTTGGGGGGCAGATGGGGCAGATAGGCGCGGTGACATCACGGGTCAGCTGACTGGTTTGTTTTGCTGGAGTCGCTCAGATAAAAACACAGCCAGTTTGAAGGAAGCGACGACACAGAAGCCACAGCTAAACTAGGCCCGAGACTTTTAAAGCGAACCAACCGCACAGCAAATCCACGTAAACCTACTTTTTATGCGTTTAAGATTTTGTATTTTTTACATTTTACATAGTTTTATTATTTGATATCATTGCTACCTCAGTTTTTACTTAGCCTACTGCCAGCTGACTTTGACGCAATATGCCTTCAGAGAAAACCTTCAAACAAAGAAGGACGTACGGTGAGTGTTTTGCGCACATTAAAGCTCTAGTCAGCATACTTTAATCTTTTATATTTTTATGTTAACAATCGCGATGATGACATTTCTAGGCAAGCAAAACAACCCCGATGGCGATCTAGACGAGCTGGTGGCCTGACGCGCGAGCTTATATGTTTTTCTCTCGCTAAATTACCGCCATGGTTAAATAAATCATGTATATTTTACAAAGTACGAATCAGTACAGTAGGCCTGGTTACATAAACAAAGGTCTGTGCCTGTGCCAGAGTAGCCTATCCAAAAATATACCCTACTCTGGATCCAAGCTTTATTGTTATTGTCATTTTATTATTTATTTTATTTGTTCAGATTCATCTTGTAGCAGGCCACGAACACACGTTTACGCGTAATGGCGCATGCTGTTGTCTGAACTAAATATATTCGCTTGTAAGGTTTGCAGTTGTGTTTGTAGGCCATCAGAGCCAGAGGAAAACAAAGTGGTGTCGAAATGCAGAGGAGAGCTGCAGGATTGGGGGATGGGGCAGTTGGACGGGTTTAAAGAGGGTCACAAAAGCGTTACTCTGAGCTCCTGACTGTCCCAATTCGCCATGTCACAGTCTTATTTTGTCCATTAAGTTACATTACAGATTTGTAGCTCTATACATACACTAAGCCTGTATCTTATGTAGCCTAGCAGGTCTATTAAAATTTTAATATAACTTTGAAATAACTTATTCAACAACACACGTGTATAGTTTAGTTTCCTTTTTGTTTTGTCTCGAGGTTACAAGACGTTTCGTTTTTGCCAAAAGACGAGTTCATAAACTTCCGGTACAGTGAACTCCTATTGGTTAAAACATTCTTACACAACTTGTGCACGTGAGAACAAGTTCAGAGAAAAAGAAACATATCACCACGTGCTCTGAGGCCTATAGGACCACTGCGCCAAAGAAAACCCCAAAATATGAAGATGACATGGCTGAATCTGGACAAAAACACTCTACTAGTCTGGCAAGCTTTTAAAGTGGTTACTAAGTCTGTAACATGTGAACTATTTTGATATGAAATTTGTTTATACATTGTTTACTGGCCCACTTTAACTTTGTCAACTTCACTCATTTTTTAATCTATGTTGTAAATTGGATAAACAGAAGTCAATCCTTTTATAAGCGTATTTCCCTAAACCAGGCTCAGAACAATACGTCCGCTGTCTCATCAAAATGAACAAACTGGAATATACCCAAACACTTAGATGGATTCAACTGCTGACTAATTCCCCTTTTTAAAACGCACTAAGAAATTCCTAGTGTTTGGTAATGACTGTGTGCTTCCTTCTTTTAGTAAATTATTTAAAACTGAGTGACTCAGAGGCTGTTTATCCCTTTGTCTGTGTCACAGGCCGTACATACTCCACCTTGAACGACAGGGCCAAAGACAAACCGTGTGATTGACTATGCACCAGAAGATGTTGATTTTGTTTAGTCACAGTAAGGAGTTGCACCGATTAAACCAGGACTAGTCCAGGAACTGAACCAGGACAGAATCAGGACTTAAGACAGGGCCTAAACAACGGATTGAACCAGGGACTGAACCAGGTCTAAACCAGGGACTAAACCAGCTCTAAACCAGGACTAAACTAGGTCTGAACCAACACTAAACCAGGTCGCATTTAGGGGATAATTTATGAGCTTCCAATGACTTTTTTCAAAATTTTAATTATCTCCTAGTTTACTCTTTGTATAGTATTGTTTTCAAAAGCCACACATATTTTACTGCTATCAAAATGGAAATATGAACCCATCCCTCCTTTTCTAAATCTACTAAAATTGTTTTCATTGTCTATAGAAGATGATAACAAAAAGAAAAATACTATATTTAGGTAATTTGTCACAACTGTGACATCTGTTTTTGCAGTTGAACTCTTTTAACCTTGAAGGAGAAGTGCAAAGAGGGGTCAGTGAAATAAATTACAAATTTGTGGAAAATACTTACTTTCACAAAATAGTTTTGTTGTTGCTCAATATTAGAAACAACATTATTTTATGTAACACCCATTTTAAATGATCAGGCAGTTGTGCTGTAATATGTCTTAACAATACTTTTTTTTTTTTTTTTATTACACAGTAGTTAAAACATTTCATTTTCTGCTAAAAGAATGTAGACTTGCAAAACAATTGTATGTTGGGTGCATCTATTTTTTCATAATTCACACTTAATATTCAACTTTGACAAACTTTATTGATCCACAAGGGAAATTATTTGGGCACAGTAGCTCACACATCACAATATAATATAATAACAAAGCGAAAAATAGAAGTTATAATAATAAATTCAGATAAGAAGCAAAAATTGCAAGAGACTGGTATCAAATATGGAATAATTATACAAATGTATGTGAGCAAGTTAAAAAATATTGAAATATAGTAATACAAATATACTTCAGCCAGTGCACTTGCACAAGAAGTGGTTTTGGGAAAGCTCATTATGATTACACCAGTTTATTCCTCTAAGTACTCTTTGTTTTCCGACTGTGTTGTTTTCAGTTTGAGTTTTTAGAGCTGTAATATCTGCTCACTAGGTCACACTGCCACAAACCTGTTTAACCTGATGCCATCTTCATGCCCACAACAGTGGAGTTCATATAGAAACTCAGCATTTACATTCAGCTGCTTTACATACATTTGTTTGTAATAAGCTTGATGCCAATGTGCCCAGTGTTGTTAATCTTTAGTCAATTACTGTGTATTTGCATTGTTTATGCTCCTTGCCTTTGAAGTTATGATGAACTAAAAATATCAGTTGGCAAGATAATATAACAGATAATTAAGCCTGTCACAATAATTACTGTACTGACTTATCGTTCCATTTATGAAAGATACAGATACAGAACAGTATATTTTGGGGCTTAAAGGTGCATTGTGTAATTTTTCTGGTGGAGGGTCTGTCAAATGCTTTTCTCCGTTGAGATGTGATTGCTTAGTCTGGAATGTTTCACAGTATGGCATTAAACCTTTCTATCTTCATGGAGATCAAACCAGATCAATTTACAGGTCAGATCTGTGGAGAGGAAACCGCTCACAGTCAGAATGCTTGTTTTTAGGGATGTAACGATATCCAAATCTCTCATTAATATATTGTCACTTTTAGGACACTTTTTGCTTTTAAAATACCTTGACAAGATTTTGGTGCAAATGATTACTGTCAGAATCTCAAGAATTCAAGTAAAAAATACATTTCTTCATGTTGAATGAATCATGGGACATGTAGTTCCCAATGTTTATAAGCTGTTCCTACTGAAGAACAATTCATTTAAGCAAAGGAACCTATAATTTGATATATTGTGGCAGCTCTCAATATTATTGTGAGACTTTTGACAATATGATATCACGATATTTTGGTTATTGTTACATCCCTACTTGTTTTTCTAGGTATTTTTGAGCAGTAAAACCACCTGTAATTGAAAAAAGTGTAAGGAAGAACAGTTTAAAGTCATACTGTGGAACATTATAGACAGTGCAATGACCTTTAATATTTATGTTAATGTTTATCTGTAGCAATTTTACGCACTCCAAATGTTGTTATTGTGACAGGTCTATAAATAATGAGCAGTTTTCTACAGGTTTTAAGCACTTACAATGATTAATAATGTTTTTTCCCCCCACAGAACAAAGAGTAGAAGATGTCAGACTGATTCGGGAGCAGCACCCAAACAAGATTCCTGTAAGTTCAAATCACATTATTATAGACCAAACCCAGCACAGTGTCTCTGCAGTGGTTTTGAGTCTCCTTTAAGTAGTTTGAGTTTATGAGCAATGCGGCACACAGGAAGCCAGGGTGGATGCGGTCGTAACCATATTTCCTGTTGATGCATAAAAGATTAGACGATTGAATGTGACTCAAAAAAAAAAATACAGCCGTTTGTATGCAAATTAGCTCAGCGTCGGAAAAGATGGTACTGAGCCTTTAGCAGTGTTTGCATCAGGTGTGCCTTGGGTTTAGGCGAATGTCTCCTAGCAACAGTGGTGGATGAAGTACTCAATTTTGTTACTTAAGTAAAAGTACAGGTACAAAGGTAAAAAGTTAGTCAAGTAAAAGTAAAAGTATCACATGAAAAGATCTACTTAAAGAGTAAAAAGTAAAAGTATTTTGCGAGATTTTTGAACAAATAAAGGATGAAAGGTAATGATTTTGATAAAGAATTTAGCATATTTTAAGATTTTAAGTGATTAAGTTGATTTCTTAATATTTCTATCTGTTTTTGTTTATTTGGTTAGCCAGAAGTTAGGACGTTAACTCTAATTAAATTTGTTTAAAACATAGCAGGCCTCAAACCATAAAGAAAAGTACTTTTTACTTTTCAGTCCAGATCTAAAATGTAGTGGAGTAGAAAGTACAGATACATATTCTCAAATGTAGTGAAGTAAAAGTTAAAAGTGTCCACTGTAAAATGTACTTAAATACAGTACAGATACCTAAAATTTGTATTTTTACTTTTGTACTTCATTATCTTCCATCACTGCCTAGCAACATGTAAACACATCGTCCATTGTCCATCTGGTGACAGTAGAAACGTGCACTGTGAGCTTAGTGTCTGTTGCCCTGTGGCTGATGTGCCATGTCATTCCCTGGGCACAGAGGAATGGGGCAGATGCACAGTGTCAATGTAACCTGAGTCTATGAGGCAGTACACGGGGGGAGGGGGAAAAGGGCAGCTCTAATACTGGGAGCTATTATGTTGTCTGGTTGTAATAACTATGGCTAATTCTTCTTTTGTAATGTTGGTGTATTTATGTGTTCATTCATTTACATTATTTAGTGTCACTACAGTTTATTTTGATGTAATCTGTCATCGTTTTGCATCAGTACTTGGGTTTAATCAAGGTTATTGGTGTATAGTTACATGTAATGCAATAATCCACTGCAGTAGGAGACCCCATCGTCCTTCTTCTAACAATTATTATTTTATAAGTTCAAAAGTCAGCATTTTTATTTAATTTATTTTTATTAGTTGACTAGTCCATCTATTATTTTTATCAATATACAGTAATATTTTAAAATAAAAGATCAGCCTCTTACTGTTGAAGCATAATGTATATCACATGGAGCCACTGATGCACTCACTCTACGATTTTATTTTAATATTTTCATTACAAGTTGATTATTCTGATTAGTCATTGCAGATTGACTTCAAACATGAGGCAGAACAGTGTTGCAGTCTGTGTTCTTTTATTCAAACCAGACCTTCTTAATGTGTCCCTCTGCAGGTCATCATTGAACGGTATAAAGGAGAGAAGCAGCTGCCCATCCTGGACAAGACCAAGTTCCTGGTGCCAGATCACGTTAACATGAGTGAACTCATCAAGATCATTAGGTAAATCTCTTTATATAATGAAATACATGTTTGAAATTACAGTTTATGTGAAATGTAATAAGGTAAGTCATTATTTCTTTCATATTCAAGGTCAAAATATATTTCTGTTCATGTCCTAAAAGAGCAACATCAATGTAATGCATGATCTGAAATCTTGCATTTAAATGGCCTATATTGCAGTTTTATTTTGTGATCTATGTTATAATGTTGTTTCCTCATTTAAAACATACCTGGAGTTGTGTTTTGGTTCATTCACACCCTGCATAGTTAGGCTGAGTTCTTCTCTCAAACAGATAACTCTTTGTTGCAGCTTGTGAGAGAGCGTGAGAGAGATACTTTGTTGATCCCGAGGGAAATTCATTTGGATTGTGATGTCATGTGGTAATACAGGAAGTGCTCGACTGTTTTTAAACTCAATGCACCTTCACTAGAATCGTTTAGTAATTCCAGGGCAAAAATTGTCCCATCTCTACTGAACTAAAGGTAAAATGTAGCTGCTAACTTGAAAACTACCACCACATGATATCACAGGGTGGAACAAAGCATCTTTAGCTTGAGAAATGTAAATGGAGTAATATTAAAGGGTTATTCAAACAAAACACAACTCCAAGTATCTTTTTGAGGAGGTAACAACATTATAAAATGACTAAAAACTCACAACAGCCAACTCTGCGTAATATAGGACCTTTTAAAAGACTGTCTTGCACTTTCTGATTCCTTTATGTCTTTGTGCTTGTTGACCACTAGGAGGCGCCTCCAGCTAAACTCAAACCAGGCATTCTTTTTGCTTGTGAATGGCCACAGCATGGTGTCTGTGTCCGCGGCCATCTCTGAGGTGTATGAACGCGAGCGTGACCAGGACGGCTTCCTCTACATGGTGTACGCCTCCCAGGAGACTTTCGGCTGTGCCACCATCCCGCAGTGAACCGCCTTTTCACAACAACATTTGGACAATGCTAGTTTTAGGCCCCCTCCACCCTCTCCCCCCCCTTTTGAGTTGTACCCATAATCCTGACTGTAATCCGCCCAGTAGCCCCAGGAGTTGACCAAAACAGTAGAGAAAGCTGCTTTTTATTATCTGACAACAGCCCTCCTATATCACCAGTCACAGAGGCTATTCCCAGTGTTGTAATCCCTTTATTTTAATGTACATATGTTTTTATGTAGCAATATTGGCATATTTATAGGAATTCTTGGAGGAGGGTTTGCCATTTTCCCCAGTCTACTTTTGCCACAGGAAGGATCTTTAATACCAAGTTTATCATTCCCATTGGTGTCATTGCCTCCCGCCTTGTTTAGTCTGAAGCATTTTCACTGTAAAATGAAGATGTTAGGAAACAGCTTGATGATTGTAGCTTGGGTGTGCGTATCTGTCAACTTTGAATTTAAAGGGGAGTATAACCAAGTTTGGACACACTACAAGCTTGGTGACTGTGTGAATGGATCTTGATCAAAATGCTTATAATATAGATATAAAAACTCTTATATATTGCTTTGATAGCAGTGGGTTTGGGGAAAGCTTAAGAAGGCCACAGACTCTGTAAATTGGTCGTTCTCGTCTTTCTCATCTTTCACAATCAGGTTTTATATCAGTGTTTTATTTAGTTTCTTTAATTTGTCGTGGATTTTACTTGATTATATGTAAACTACAGTTGGTGTGAGTGTCGGAGGGGCGGAGCATGTCCCAGTGCTGTCTGTTCTTCTGCCTGCCCCTCTGGTTCATCTGCACATCCAAAAACAGCAATATCATACAGCCGCTTGTGTATTTATGTTGTTTTTGTAAACTACAATAAAGAAAAAAAAATAAGGGTGTTTTTTCTCTTCACTATTCTGTGGTTCTGTGAAAACCCCTCATATTACCAAGAACAGGACTCTACAGATGATTGAAGACACAATGACACACCGCATCAAATTTGTATTTTTCAAAAAAAAAAGAAAAGAAAAAAGTTGCATTGAACAAATCCGTTTAACACATCCCCAACTGTAGTATATAAAGTTTTACATTTAAAATGGCATAATTCAGCTCTTTTGCAGAACACTGTAAAGTGTTGTGAAGACATTAAACATAAAACTCCTGTTAGAAGCAAAAGAAAAAAACATGTGAAGACAGGTGTAAAATGTACCTGAGCTAAAGACTGCTGGTTAATAAAATTGAGTTATAAACATTTTGACGGTAAAAAAGCGATTTTGCACTAATATTAAACAATCACACATGAACTATTAAACATTTTTAGAATCATCAATTATAAATAAAAGTTCAATATCCCTGTGCTGCTCCCTCCAGGGGAACAGCTATCTGAAGGACCAACAGCCCTTGTGTCTGTCGACTACTGGAACCAGCCCAGATACTTTCACTACAGCTCTAACTTCAAGAACTCAGCATATGAACAATAATACACTGAACATCAGCAAAAACACAAAAATTTAAAAATGGCACATGAAAAATTCTGTTCCTGATATGTTAAATACTTACACAGATGTTGAAAACCAAATTATTACCTTACTCCAACCATGAGGAGTTTTTTTTACACTGTATGTAAACCTGAGACTGCCACTGTCTCTGTAGTGCAGGTGAAGCATGACGATGACACGACAAACACATAATTATGAAAAAGATGAGAAGAAGATTGTAAGGCTTCACCCTTTGCAAACTGTAACCTCGTTTGGACAAAATGTACACTTAAAATTGTTCTAATACTCTGATGCTTTTAAAGTAAACATGCCTAACCTACATACATCTATATACTGTAAATAAACTTTGATATGTAATTATTAAAAGTGCAGCAGAAGAGATGTGTGCTCCTACAACAGATTTGTAGGCAAAGGCCCGGCTTAGGACAAATACTTTTCACTCATTAAGTTTTATGTAATAGCTGTAAAAGCTTCCAGCCACCATGCAATGTAACTCTGGTTGTGTAACCTGTAAATATTGACAAATGTCTCAATGTTTGTGCCAAATTCACAGCAAATACAGGGTACGGCTGAAACAGTATTATGCTACCCCCTGCTGTTTAGTCTCCAGAGTCCTTGGTGTCGCTGTGAGCACTGTACTTTAGTCGAAACATACCTGAAAAATACAGAAAAGATCATTTCAATTGGAAAACATCTGCCATCATCTTTTCATATTCTTGTCTTAGTAGAGTAGGGGTTAGTATTGGTCAAACCTTGCTGCGCTGAGTCCATGGATGGCTGTTTACAGTCTTCTGCCCTGTGTCCACTGGTGCCGCAGTTATAACACGACAAATTACCTGCCATCTGTTTCTGGCCTACATTTCCCAGCATGCCCTGGAAATGGCTCTGCTGCTGGTCATGCGACTGTGGGCTGTGGTGATATACAGGCGGGACCATCATCGGGTAAGGGAAGGGCGTGGCTCCATTACCAGTAGAGGTGGAAGAGGCGATAAGGGGGCTCAGGTGGAGCAGGGGTCCCAGAGTGAAGAGTGAAGGCCCAGGTGTGAACTGCTGTAGGTAACCGGCTGTGGCGTACCCAGGCAATGCCCCGTACGCCCCGCAGTTACCACGACATCCACATGAGCTACAGACACATGCCGAAGGGGTGTGGTCAGACGTCCCGCAGTCTAGCGATGGAGCAGAAGCAGAGGAGCTGGAGGTTGGGGGTAGTAGTTTGTTCGAGGAATTGTACTACCAGTCGCCATAAGTCCAGACTGAGGCTTCGAGGTGGAACAAGAAGACACTAGGGGGCACGAGTAGGGTCCCGATGCTGTGGGGGAGGATGACGATGAAAGGTGGAAGTGCACAGGGGGGTGAGATACATGATGGTGGCTGTTGGAAGTGGACGTTAAAGCTGAACTGGTCTCAACCATCAGCCCTACTGTCCCACTCACCATACCACGACAGACCACAGACTCCTGCTGACGTCCAGGAGGAGACCCATCTATGTTTAGACCTGGAAACAGGGTCTCCAGTCTCACCCCCACCCCGACCCCAGTGCCAAACCCGGCTCCAAAGACCAGGGGCTTGGAGCGGTCGTCAGGGGGAGGAGGTGGGGGTCTGGGTTTGCGTGGTGTGGTGAGGATTCGAGCAGGGTTGGACAGCGGAGAGAGAAGATTCTGCTGAGGGAAATTGGGCTGTAGTGGGAATGAAGTTTGAGGGACACTGAAGGATGGGGGAGGAGGATCTGTCTGTACGGGTAAGACCTGCGCTGTGGGGCGTGTGGAGCCAGAGGGACAGCTAGAGTTCAGGACATAGAAACTGGATCTGTCCTTCTCTGGACTGGCTCCAAGGTTATCTGGACCAGACACACCTGAATATGGAGCAAAAAAATGAAAAATGAGACAACAATGTAACAATGTACCAATCAAATCAGTGTCTTCAGAGCAGTGATGGGTAGAATACTTTATATTTGTTTTTTATGCATTTATTTATCACTGATCAGAGAAGGAAAAATTAAACTTGCACACACCACAAGAGCAGTGTTTTATATTTTTCTCACTAATGTAGTGCAGTTTGAAGCCTAAATTGTGTGATCAAGTACCACTGATTTTAGAAAATTTACTGTATTCTGAAATGAAAATGAAAAAGTAACTGTACTGTATTTATGTATGTATTCTCTGTACATGTATTCATTGACTTCCCAACACTGCTTCCGTGTGTAATGAGAACTAACGTCTATGGAAGTCTCGGCTTCTGTCAAAAGTGGCGTCACAGCAGAGCGGGGTGCGAGGGGAGCAGGGGGAGCTGGAGTATCCTGAGGAGGAGCTACTGTCTGTAGATACAGGGGGATGGTGGGTCCCTGCCTCCACTTCAACTCTCAACTCAGCTGTAAACACATACTGTAGTTTGATTTGGACAAATAAGAAGCATTTGAAAGGAAACAGCATTATCAGTGTCAGATGGTTTACCTGCATTTGAGGTGTGGTGAGAGGAGGGTCCCATGTAACTGGAGGGAGTCACTCTGGCTATTCCACTGCACAACCTCTTCTCCATTTTCATCTCCCTGCTGGAGTCATGGAGACTATATTAAAATACCTGGCTTCATCATTTGTCTCTAATGCATACAGCCTAATGACCCCAGTGGAAGCAAATACATACATGAAACATGGCATCTACATATGGAATAAGAACATTATTGCAGAGAAGGAATGTTTGTTTCTTAATGTGAGATGGGAAGGGAAACTGTGAAGTTCCTTTGTTTGTAAAACATTAAGTGAAAGGTATAACTCAAAACCACTTATTTTCAGGCAAATCAACCATTCTGGGAAGAATCACAGTTTGCATAACAAACTCATACATTTTAAAAGCCTTGAGTTCACACAGTGTTAATGGCCTAAAACAAACACTCCACCTGGACCTTCAGTGATATTGGCTTCAGCTTTGAAACAGCAAATGCTCGGTCTACTCTCTGTCAGCCAATATCTCCCAGCAGCAGCTTTACTCTACTTTGTAATTAGTAACAGAAATCTAGGCAGGCTTTGAAATGTGGCTTGCTTGTTACCACCAAGAGTAAATCAGACAGATACCAGCTGTGTGTTTACACAGAAATAGCTTTCACTTTAACTGGGGTGAATGTTAGTCAAGTATTTTAGGGAAAATCAGAATGATAAAGTAAAGATAACCCCAATGTCCAGCATGCCAAAGATAAGACATGGCCAAATACAAGTGTACTGTTACTCCACCACCAGGGGGAGACACAGCACATACAGTATACCCTGTATTGGTGCTCTTGTCATCTTCATGGAAAACCACTGCTGGATGTTTCCTTTGAGATCTCTGTTTAAACATGCACACACATGTGCCTGGTCTAACAGAGTTGATATTCAGAATGGAAACTTGATTGAGTGATAAGTCCAGGATTACATTAGGAAAACAGAGCGTCTATAGCTTGCAGTTGTTTTTAAGTTTGTGAATGTATTTTAGATCATTATCTGGTCATGTACATGTTATCTCTCACCTCTAGTTAACTATTGACACTTTTTAGCCTAAAAGCAGCTGTTGATCAGTGTTTCTGTTAATTGTTAATAGGGCAAAGTATCAGATATACTATACTGACCTAAACCTGCCCCACGCCTGGTGCCAGTAAGTCTAAGGTGACCTATTTTATTCAAATGTTTGCAGGTCAAATACATTACACTAGAATCAGTTACATAAATGCTGTGGTAAAAGAAAAGGTTTCATTTGAGAGAAAGTTCTGAACCATTTTCTACTATAAAACCCTCTCTTAATTTTGTCCAGATGTGTTGGCAGAGTTTGATCCCGTGAGAATAGAAAAGTATGTACAGTACAATAACTTATGATTGGTAAACCTGTCATTCAAGGAGCCATAGTTCAGAGTCAGACTAGAAACAGATAACAACAGCTATCTTGAATTTCTTACTATTATAAACAACTACTTACTCCACAGATTTCTGCAGCTCAAGTTGAGTCTTCAGCTTCTTTTTAGCTCCTTGGGTAAGATCGTACTTGTTCAGATCCTCCTCTGTCAGCGCCAAGAACTACAGAAAATACATAAATGTTTTTTAGTTAAAAAGGGCAAAACAAAATAAAAAAAAATAAAAAATGTTTCATAAACTCAATGGAGTCTTGTTACCAGAGTTGGAAAGTAATACTAAATAGTACGGTAATGTAATGTTTTATGTAACCAAGTAGATATTTTTGAGTGATTGTACTTTTCCTGAGTTGTTTTTGAAACCTGCCCTTGAACTTGTAGTATAATTGTAGCATATTTTTGTAATGAATTACATTTCAATCATGGATGTTACTGAGTTTATGTTTCTGCTCCTTTCTATATCTGCAGGCACACATGCACTGCCGAGTCTGCCCTGACTGGCCAGAATTCAAAAAAGTATTTTTAATGACTAAATACAGTTTAATCGATCCAAGTTTTGTATGAATCATATAAAATGCTTCTAAAATTGTGTTAAAAAGTAACTACTAACAAGTACTTTGAGTAATATTTTGCATGTATATTTTTTAAAAATGTACTTATATCTCCTATACTACACAAAATTTACTCTTATGAGCTTTAAGCCATTATAGTATGCTGTTGCCTCATCAAAAACATTTATTATTAGTTTGTCTACATATCCAAAGCTCAAAATGCTCTACTCCACCTTGTGATGTCATGAAGTAGTATTCAAGTTAACAGCTCCTTTTACCTTTAGTTCAGTGGAGATGGGCAATTTCATAGCTGAAATAACCCAAACCATTCTAGTGAAGGTGTATGAAGTGTAAAAACGCAGAGGAGCACTTTTTGTATTACCGCATGACATCACAAGGTGGAACAGGGTGTGTGGAACAGGGAGAGAAGAACTTGTGTTTTAAACATGTGCGAATGAAACAAAACACAACTCCAGGTTTGTCTGTGATGAGTAAACAACAAACAACAGTATAACATAGATCAGAAAATAGTGTAATATGGGCCCTTTAAGTACAAGTTATGGCAGCAGTACTACACATTTTTAGTCTACAGTATTTTTAGTTAAGTACAATTTTTCCATACCCTTTTCCACGATTCCTTATTATAGACAACAATGACAGAAAACCACAAAAGATCTCTGACAACAAAGTACCTCCTCCATGGTGAGCTGCTTAAAGACGGGGTAGTATTTGTGGAGACGCAGTTTTCGGAGCCAGTCCAGGATGCCATTTTGCTCCGGGGCACTGGTTTGGGACTGCGCTGGCGGTAGCTGATGGGACGGAGGTCGAGAGGGGAAATGGGAGTAGGAAAGATTTGGGGAATGGGCTTGGGAGAAGGATAACGACTGACAGTATGGAAGCGGGGCACTAGCCTGACTGGTGGGTGTATGTAGGTGAGGCTGGGGGTATGGGTGCTGGGCAGGTGGGTGGGTGGGGGGGTCGGCTGTGCCCGGGTGGGGTGGAGTCATAGGGGGGAGATGGAGGGAGTGGGGAGGGTGAGGAAAGGCCTGGGGGAGAGAGGGAGGGAGGGATGAGATCGGGAGAGAGGGACGGGTCATTACAGAAGTGTGGGTGCTCACAACTGGCAGCACACTGGCCACTTTATAAACAGGCCTGAGAGAGAAGAAAAGAAGAGAAGGATTGATGAAAAACAATAAAAGACATAGAAGTAATAAAAAAAATACATAAAACAATAAATAATAACATTGTACCTGTTGACTCCCTTGTGCTGCATCATAAATCCAGGATCTGAGTGAAGAAAAACAAATATTGAGATGCCATAAGTCTGTAATAAAGGTCTATTAAAATGTTTAAATTTTTTATTATATTATTTACGACTGATGGTGACGCGTGGTAATGAACGTGAGTATGTACAAAGTCCTCAGTAATAGGACCTTAGTCAACTAGTCAAACAATTATTCAAGAAATTATGAATTAGATAAATGTTACTGACTGAACACTTTTAGATGGAGAATATTGACAAATAAAGTGTATCACTGAGGGAAATCAGAAATGGTCTTTGTTATAAAGGTCTTTTGGTATGTGGTGGAAACTCCTGTGAGCTTTAAGCCATGTGAGAATGTTACCTCCTCAAAAACAAGTCCAGAGTTGAGTTTTGTTTCATTCACACATAGTCTGTCTGCATCTCAAAAGCTCAAAATGCTCTGTTCCACCTTGTGATGTCATGAAGTGGTAGTTTTCATGCTAACAGCTACCTTTTTTACCATTTGTTCTGTAGTGATCGACTTTTTTTTTCCAAATTATTCTAGTGAATGTATGGAGCATTTTCTGATTGAGAAAAGAACTCAGCCTAAATATGCAGGGTTTGTGTGTTAAACATGTGTGAATGAAACAAAACACAACTCCAGGTCTGTTTTTGATGTAGAAACAACATGATAAGACAGTAAAACACTGTAACATGAGCTCTTTAATAGTCACGATGATTCCAATTAACTGCTGCAGTGCTACAATATAATACAAGAAACTCTGAGACATGGATATATGTTTTTCCATTCTCTCTGGGATCTCCTATCTCTAATTTCAGCGCATGAGATTATAAATAACGAGATGAAGTCACAGTCATAGAGATCAATGGCTCTTACACTCTCCAACATGAAGTCACAGGCATCCAGCACAAACGAGCCATAGCAAATACCAGACCAAAATAGAAACAGCTCTTTCTGACACCTTCACAACACAGACTCAAATACTCTCTGCAGATGCCCTCATTAATGTTGTTAGTTCAGTAATAAAAATAACATAATAAAAAAAAATTACAGCCAAGATGAGTGAAGTGTCTTACCTTAAGGACACAAAAACCTTATGCACAGGTCAGAGCTGGGCTTTGTGAGCGGGTTGTCACTGTTGTTCACCAGGTGTGTGCCAAAATATTGAGATATTGATATATCGTATCCGTTGAATGTGATGATACAGTATCGATATTGTGGGCTGCTGTATCGAGAGTATTTTTTGGTACATTTTACTACATTATTTTGTAACAGTGCTACAGTTTTTGTTTTTTCAAAGTAAGGAAACTCATTTGTGGGACACATTTGACATTTTTACTGTTCTGGTGATTAAAATGGTGTGTTTCATATTAACTTTGCACAAGAAGTGGTTTAACAAAGACTTTTAGTGTCACAGCCATAATTTTGCCATTATTTTTACTGAACCCTATCGAATTGATTTGAAATATATTGTATGGAATCGTATCGAATCAAAAGCTCACTGTATCGAGATATGTATCGTATCATGGCACCAATATCAAGGTATGTATCGTATTGGCAACTTCTTAACGATACCCAGCCCTACTGTTCACTGTAGAAATCCACTGAAATGTATCCAATAGTTTGTTTTATATTTTAGGTTTTTTATTAATGTTTTTACATATATAAATTCTTTGCTAAATTATAGTGATTAGGTCTGTCTCATTTGATATCGATGGCGTGTTATAAATGATGCATACATACACTACCAGTTAACGGTTTGGATTCACAAGTATTTAGTTTTTTCTTTATTTTTACTACTTTTTACTACTTTTTACATTTTAGATATATCAAATCATCAATGTCAAATATATGAAGCAAGATATATGGAATTATGTAGTGAAGAAAAAAAATTAAATCACTCGAAGCAAAGGAAAAGGTAGCTACACTGAAAATTTGAACACTGAACACTGAATGAGATGGTGTGTCCAAACTGCATATGACACAGGTAGGTAATGCACTTACTAGAGCTGGGGGTGTATGAACATGTTGTTGCCGTAGTAACAGTGGGCTGTGCGGGGGGCAGAGGGTGCAGTGGGTTTGCGGTCGGGAGAGACGATGGGAGAGACTGGGTGCCCGTGAAAAACACCTGGACGCTGTGGTGCTGGAGCATATGTGGGGGCAGCGTGCCCAGACACCTGGAGAAATCAAAACATTTTACAGAAACACAATGTAATTTCTGTAGGAACACAATGAACCGGATGATACCCACCTCGGATCCATGTTCTGAGGAAGGAATTTCTCTACTTCTTCATCAGAAAAAGCTTGTGAGAGCTTTAAGGGAAATATTTTCATCAGTTAAATGTTCTCTATGACAGGCTGAGCTACTCATTTTACTAAAACACAGATAAGGTCATTATATTTAAGATTTTTGCAAAAACATTCAAACCTGATTTCCAGTTTGGCCATTTTTTAGGTTTAAAATGTGACTTCCTGGTTGGAAATTGTGACATCAGACAAGGGCAATTCATAACTGTTACCTAGACCTGTGCATAGAAATTATTATCTGACAAACACCTGATAAGCACCTTTATTTTGTTGAAAATATGTTTAAAGTATCAGAAAATCTTTGGACAGATTTCCCACTAGTGTGATGTTATTAATATGTTCATTAATATATTTAATTAATGTATATCAAAGCTTGTACTAACTTGGTGCACTTCAAAAAACAATATAAAAATCTAATCTTACAGAAATACCAAGAAGACTAGATCCACTAGATCTACAAGTCTTCACAAGTAAACCATGACTACTAACTAAACATGTTTTTCTTTAACATTTTATTTAACATTACCTTTTATTTTGATACGATCATAAACGATACATTTTGTTTTTATCATTATTATTAGTTTGCACGACTATAAACAAAAACAAAAAAAAATCTTACATTTTTTCATTATCATTTTGGTTTATTTTGTATGATCATAAACGATAAACTTCTGTGCCTTCGTTAACATTATTATTAGTTTGTCCGACCATAGACGGACGTTTGTTTTAATACATTTTGTCTCTTATACATACAGTAAGTCGTAAGTGAAATTGTAAATGCAAACTTGCTGTTCATACGCTACTTTTCTTTCTTGAAATTCTGTCATTGTTGAAAAGGGTTAGGCATCATAACTATTTTTTACTTCAGCCTAAACCTTTTCTCTCATGATTTTCAACATGTTTTTTTTCAGCTTTTCTTCACTAATTGCTTCTTAATTTGTGGAAACCTATAATTTATAGTTTATAATTAAATAATTATAATCCCACCAAATTAAGACAAAATTAGAGAATCATAAAAGACATACACACTTTGCAGCCTTGGGCACATTTGTTGAGAATTGTAAATTCCTGACCTGGGTAAGCAGTTCTGTCACTTCTTGCTCAGTTCGAACAACAGAAGACACAAATCCATCTGACCAGTTTGTCTGTAAAGGGTCAAATTATGTGACTTGAAATAGTATGAAACATTTATTTTATTTTTGTTTGATTAATTTACCTCAAATACAAGCTCAGTGGTGTCTTCAGACTTGCGTGTGACTCCTCTCAGTATGACCCTCTCGATCATCACTGAAACAATTTAAAATATATTATGTGAAATACAAATATCAGTCAGATTACACAAGGACATAAAAATTAAAGAGCTCATATTACACCATTTTTAATCTATGATATAATGTTGCTTCCTCATCAAAAACTTGCCTGGAGTTGTGTTTTGTTTCATTCACACATGGTTAACAGATAAATCCTGCATATTTCCACATTTTCAGGAAGTGCTCCACTGTGTTTTGAAACTCTATACACCGTCACTAGAATCATTTGGATGATTTTTAGCCCTGGAATTGCCAATCTCTACTGAACTAAAGGTAAAAAGGGGGCTGTTACTGACTAAATGTTGTTGGTGTTTTATGTAAATAGGCTCTTTAATGTCGTGCAGATGGAAAGTAGCTCGTAGCTAAATCTGGCGCAGAGCATCTTTTCTCTGTTGAGATGATAAAGTTTTCTGTGCACTGTCCTTGTTTTAAATAAATAAATAAATAAAATAAAATAAACAACTACAGGACATCACAAAGAGGAACAGAGCATTTTGAGCTTTGAAGATGTAGACAAACTAATAATAAAGAGTTTCAAACATGTGTGAATGAAACAAAACTCAACTCCAGGTATGTTTTTGAGGAGGTAACAATGCTTGAAGCTCACAAGAATACTTTTTGTGTAATACAGGACATTTAAGTGGATAAATTTTGCATAATATAGGACATTTAAGTGGTAATATCAAGTTATATTTCTTTAAACTGGGCTCTCTAAACAAATCCCAAATAAAAGAAGTAAACTACACTACCAGGATTGACATATATCAACGTGGGAAGAGAAACACAAACTGTCATGTCTTTCTTTTAGCACACTTTATGTAATAGTCAGAAGTGATTATTGGAAACTCTATACACCACTTAAAATGTATTTCTGTAAAGCATGTCCTTAAATTATCAAAAGCTTTAATAGTGGCCCACTTGTTTGCAGATTCAGCTTTCACCAGTCTCTTTCTGCATAAATCTAGTTCAGTCATGGCATTACAGTGAAAACATGCCTCAGGTGTACAGGCAGGTTGGGACTGCTCCTCTAGCATTACACTTGTGTCATTAGATACAAACTGAGCTAAAAATGTGGGGAAGTTATGTAGGTGGGTGAAGGTTCAGACAAATGCCTAGACATTGATTTGGACCCTAAACAAGATCAAATTTAAAGAGCCCATATTACACTGTTTTATAATGTTGTTTCCTCATTAAAAACGTACCCAGAGTTTTGTTTTGTTTCAGTCACACATGTTTAAC